GAACCTACTATATGTTACCATTACCGAAAACCGGGACACATTAAGTATGATTATTCTCACTTAAAGAAGAAATGATCAAGCAAACCAAAGAATAAGGCTTTTGTGGCTAGTCGATGATGAAAATGATGAAGTATTTTGTCTCATGGCCATCCAAGAAGATTCAAATGTATCATCTAACTCATCGAATTCAAATTCATATACATTTGATGAGTTGCAAGATGCCTATGATGAATTAGTGTTATAATGTGAAGTCATGATTTCAAAACACAAAAAGGTTCATTCAAAATTGAAAATGATTCACTTTCTAAGACTAATAGTGAACTTGAAAGAAAAGTCAATGAATTACAAGAAAAGTTTAATATTTTTTAGAAAAAGAATTTAGACTTGTAGAATTTTCTTTCCAAAGTTCATGAGGATCATCAAAGGAAAATTGATGATATTGAGTAAGAAAAAGTTAATTTTGATAAAATTATTAAAAATAAATTTGAAAGAGGAGATTGCTCTAAATCAAATTTTTGTCAAAAATAGCTTTTTCAATAGGTATGTTTATTTCCCTAAATTTTATAAAGGAAAAATGATTAGGAGTATATTGGTCCCTAAAGGACTCATTGCTACAAAAAATACGGATATCCGATCTCTATGGATACCCAAAGGGACTAAATTGTTTGAAACTAACATCAATGAAACCAAAAAGATTTGGGTACCAAAAGTTGTATAATTGTCTATTGTATGTGTGTTGGAGCTATTGCGAATGAAGTCAAGCTATTTTGGAGCTCTAAAACACAATAAGGAATGATACTTGAAGAAAGGAAGACTTAACAAATTAATCTTATTTCAAGTGGTAAAATGTTCTAATTTCATGCAATTTTATGTTCCTATGTGATCATATATGTTTTTGTGCTTGATTTTATGTCCCCACCTAGTGTCATATTACAATTAATGAAGGGAGTTAAGATTGCATAAATTGTATCTTTGTGGCCTTGTATGTTTAATTTCATATCATTTCCCTTAAATTTTTTTTTAAGATATGTTTTGAACCTTGTTTGTTCTAACTAACTAATTCTTAAAAAGTTCATAATATACACTTTAGTAAAGTACCTAGAAAAACATTTCAATTTAGTATCAAATCATTATTTCTAGTGCCTTAACAAGTTACTAGTGCTTTCTGTAGTCTTAAAATAATTAGGTGCTTATTTCGGTAGTCTTTGAGGGTTAAAAAATGTTAAAATTGACATTTACAAGCATTTGGTATCGAGACCGCTATATTGGTATCAAAACTGATTTTTGAGTAGTCTTTTTCGGTATCGATACCTTGTTTCAGCATCTATACCCATAGGTGGGTCTCGAGACCGGGCTCTTGTACACGTTAAAAAGGGATGTTTCTCCCCAAAATCATCATTTTTATCAATCCTTACAAACCCTAACTGAAATGCTCTCTAAAAAATCCCTCATTTTCACTCAATTTGACTACAAATTTGTGTCGGATACTTCACTCATTTATCATTTACACATTTATAGTGGATTTGCATTAACATCATCATTATTTTTCTTTAAAAATTTGAGGTAATCTCATTTAAACCCATTTTTTTATTTTTGAAATTTATGCTCAATATTTTGTGCTAATCATGTTTTTAAGATAGTTTACTTTCTAAAATATTTTATATTTCATTTGAACACTTTCTTATTGTCAAAACATCATGATTATCACACACAAAATTTCAAAAATGGTTTAAATAGGTTTTAAAATTTTTAAATTTTATGCAATTTTTTAACAAAATTAATGAAATTGATTAGTTTATTAGGTTGTATTATATGTGTTTTTATTGTAGGAGGTTAACCCATTCACCAATTTTTTTCTTAGAACCCTTGTTTTAGGTTTGTCCACCAAGTGTTCGATAAGATTTCCAAAAGAATTTTCTATCATTAATATCCACTATTTTTGTCCAAAATACCTCCTAGAACAAATCTAAAACACCTTAGGACTAGTGGCACTACTCTTCAAGGTCAATCTTTAAATTTCACTAGTTTTGAAAATGGTTGCTTTAGGATCCTAATGCCCTTTAACTCTTCAATCGTTTTTCAAAACAAAATCCCTTCGAACCAAACGTACCATCGATATGGACTTTGTTATGTCTTAGGTTTACCGATTCAATGTTTTTTGAAACCTTTGTCTCGTGGGGATGGTTGGACTTTTTTAGCATTCCTCTTAAGGTCAATCCAAACCTTGTATGTTCTTTCTTTTCAAACGTTGTCATAGTTCATGAGGAAGATAATGTTAACAATGTTATTGGAATATTTTCATGTCTTATGGGAAAGACATTTACTCTTAGTCTCGCTTCCATTACCTCATTTTCAAATATAAACAATGATGATTGTCCTTTTAAGGATAGTACTTATATTTCTATGGCAAGATTTCAAAATTATAGCATACCTCTATTGAGTTTCCCAATCGTCTTCTTTTGCTCCTTATTATGTGGTTTTTTGCCCTTCCGGTGGTAAAGCTACCAATATGCGCACTTGCGATTATTGATGTTTTATCTTATCACGAAATTCATCCGTCCAAATTTTTCCATGATCATATTCTTAGATCTTGTCTACATTGTATCAAAAATGAAAAATTACACCAAAACGTTTCCCTACGATTGTATCATTAATTACATTTTTAGAGAAAAACTTAGAGTGTCTACCGCCTATGACTCTTCAATTCCTCTTGTTAGTGTCTTCGATCTCAAATTGACCCACAAGACCAATTAGGATTTCGATGGAAATACAAGTGAATGAGGTCCTTTTCAAAGACAACTCTTGGACAACAATGAGGAAGAAGGAAATGAAATGAAAGAGCCTCTGATGTCACCATCTCAAGAAGAGATTTCGATGAAGACTATGTATGAAGGCATTCTTTAAAGCATTGGGAACTTGAGTGCTCACATGACTAGTATTGGTCGTCGCTTGGAATCTCTGGAGAATGACGTTCGCTCAATTCGTCATCACTTGATGTCTTTCTCTCATTCGCCACCACCTTCGGAAGATTAGGTTTTCTTATGTTGCTTTTAGAACATTTGCATTATGACTAGTTTCATGCACTTTATGGATATTTTTTGATACTTTATGTTTATTTATGTTTGGTACTTTTGTTTAAACTACTATTGATGTTAATTTTATGCTTATGAACTTAAATATTTTATGTTAAACATGATTTGATCTTATATATTGTTTAATATTTGAGTTCCCTATTACACTAACATATTTTCTCTTTTGAAACTTAATTTGATTTTGTTATAACAAAGGGGAGAAATATGTGTGATTGTAAAATTTGCTAGCCAAAAACTATTTTACTAAGGGGAGATTTTATTTTTCACAAAACTATTTTGACAAATCATTTTTAAATCTAAAGCAATGGTTTTGTTATATATGCAAAAAGGGGATATTGTTAAACCAACAATTGATTTTGATATAACATGATTTTTAAAATGAAGACAAAATGGACCAAGATTCAAATGGAGAACAACAAGAAACAAAACTACATAATCAAACCAACATCAAAAGCATTTTAGAACTAAATTTTCATTTTTCTTCGTAACTCACTTGTGAGCTTCTTTGTTCATTCTCGCTCAAGTGTGATTTGGGTGTGTGCTTAATTCGTTGCAAACACATTTGTCTTGTGAGGTTTTCTTTTGTTTTCTAAATTTGTAATTCCACTTGTGGAGAGAGTGTAAGTAAGGTTTTAGGGTATAAACCTTGTATTGTTGTAAGGTTACACCTTATCCTCAAAGGTTAACAAATCTAGTGGATTTGAGAAATCCTTAGTGGATGTAGACTTTGATTTAGAAAATTGAACCACTTTAAATTCTTTGTGCAAATTTTATTTTTAAGTTGCTTCCACCACTAAGATTTTAAAAGGTTAATTCACCCACTCTTGGTTATTTTCGGTTGTTCGATAAAGCTAACAGTTTCAAACCAAACGTAAAAGCTAGGATTTCTACCATTTTCATTTTCAACTTTGTGTTTGGAAGCAAATGATAATTTTACCTTTACTAATGCATGAGTTTCACTCAATTATGTATTTACATTTTATTTTAATAATTTAATACTAACATCCTTAAAATAATTTATTACTTTTAATAATTTATTTTAATTATTTAAAAATAAATAAAATTCATGATTTATATATTAAAATATTAATAGTGAGTTATATAAAATATATTTTATTATAATTATATGTTATATTTGTATTTTTATATTTTATTATATTTTAATTGATATAATTCATATATAATAATATTTTTTTTGAATTTATTAAAGTTTATATTGATATGATTCATATATAAGTGTAAACATAATTTAAATACTATATTTTTAATTTACAACATATGTCCATAATGGATATTTTATATTTCCAAACTCATTTTTTTAACAACAATCTCAAACAATTAAATTTTAAACTGTACTTTTGTACAACGATTTCAAAAGTTCGTTTTTAAAACACTTTTCTAAAGCTATACCAAATTAGCCCTAATATTAAACTGGCCCTTAATATAAAATCTCTCATAAAATTTGTGTTTCCAGATATATATCAGCTTAATTAGAGAAACAATTCGAAGCTTTATTTGGTTGAAATTTATACAAATTCTTTACAGTCTCAAAATAATTAGTTATTATTATTTTATAAGTATATTTTAACATAATATGTAAACATATTAAAAATATGTATTATAATATTTAAATGATTTATAATCTACTATCCTTACATCAAAGATGTTTATACTTAAAATAATACCAACAGCATGAAATATTTGTATTCACCATATGGCAGAGGTAATTTTTTTAATGTGTGATTATGGTATCACGTTTTTTCCCGCCAATACTTCCTATATATGTATGATGTTGTGGAACTGGCCCTTATTTATGAAGTACATAACTATTGTAATAGTATTCTGATCAATAGTTACTGTCACGGTCAATAACGGGCCTAAGACGGGTAACTACCAGCATAAATGATGTTACGATTCCAAAAACCCAGTCAATCTAAGAATTAAATCTCGAACTCGACTCAAATCCCTTCCTTTAAGGGTCCTTCCATTGCCGGTACAGACCGAAAACGCCATCTCCCCATCAATTCTCCTCTCCACTATCACATGCGGCGGCACAAGTTCCCCTCTCTCGTCTTCTTCCTCCAAATCATCAGCTTCACTGTCGTAATAAAAATCAGTATTACGATGTCGACGACGCGAAGTATTAACGGGAAGCGAACTGGCGGCCATTTTCTTCTCGGACTTCTTGTAGTAGTTAAATGAAAGGTGTTCATTTTTAGATGACATGCAGTACCAATCATCAGCCTTCTCGTCATAATGACTGCCGAGGTCGGAAAATATAACCTCAGACTCTTGGAATTCTTCTTCTTTAGCCATGAAAGATTGAGATTAGATATAGACTGTAGTAATCTGGAAATGTATACAGTATACGAATAAGGGAATTACTTTATATATAGGAGAGAATATAAATCGTACTTAACACACCATCTATTTATTTAAACGGTGTTTGAGAAATGATGTCGCCATCTAAACGGTGTCTACATTCATTAGCTAATGAAATTATCATACTATTTTTAAGGGTAAATTACACTATTCTACGTTTAATTTTATTCTCTCTCTTATTTTATTTATTGTACTTTCAATTTTTCAATTTTCTCACTAAATCTTGGGATTGTTCCTGTTTTGATCACTATCAATTATTTTAGGCTTAAGAGTCATATTTTCCCCTGTACTAGACTCAATTTATCATTTTGCCCCTATCGTATTTTCGCATCAATTTAACCATTAAAGTTGTTTAATTGCATCATTCTATGTCTTTCCCCTAACTTGAAACTCTAAATTATAAAGCCTAAGTTAGGGTTTAGGGTTTAGTATTTATAATTTAGGGTTTTAAGTTAGAGATATGATATAGAATGATGTAATTGAGCAACTTCGATGGCTAAATTGATGTGAAAATACGATAGGGGCGAAAGAGATAATTTGGGTCTACTAGCAAAAGTTACCCTTTTGCCATTATTTTATTATTATTTTTATATGATGTGACATTTTTTATTATTATTTAATATAAAAATAATTTAAAATATAAAATCAAAACAGAAGGTGATCGAATGTTACCGTCGACAACCATAGATTGTGGTCTTTCGGTCCTAAACTTCATTGGTTGCTTTGCTTCAATACTTTGAGTCTGAATCCGACCACTATTTTATCAAAACTTTCTCTAAAGTCCACGAATTGGAGATCAAAAGTGAGGAAGTCGAAATGTTTCACTCGAGATTAACATATTTTTGGACATTTTCCGGTGAAACAACCACCAGATTCAAACTCAATGGATCGAGGCGGGCCGACTCACGAAATTTAAGATCGAACGACACCATCTACAGCGGTTGAGAACTACCGACAATAACTTTCGACCACTTTATGTTTTTATTTTATGTTTAGATCTATTTTTATATTAAATAATAAAAAATCACGCCATATGATAATAATAATGAAATAATTTATAACAATCAAAACAAAAATAATATAAAAATTAAGTGAATATATTAAAAATGAAATAAATAAAATATGAGAGAATATAATTAAATAAAGAGCGTGTATTTTACCGATTTTGAAAAGAGTAAAATACATCATTTCGTACTCACTTTAATTTAATTCTTCGATTTGTTTCGTTTTTCTCAATTCACGTATTAAATACTATTTTAATTAAAATAAAAATTATTTTTAATTATTCATTGGAGTAGATGTATAAAATATTTATTGTTTCAAGTATTAAGTGTTGCAACAGAAATTAAATTTAAGTACTTAGATAAAACAAAAAAATCAATATTAAATTGAACACTAAAACTATATATTAAATTAAATATTAATGATTATATTTAATTAAAATAAAAATTATTTTTAATTATTTATTGGAGTAGATGTATCAAATATTTATTGTTTCAAGTATTAAGTTGTGCAACAGAAATTAAATTTAAGTACTTAGATAAAACAAAAAAATCAATATTAAATCGAACACTAAAACTATATATCAAATTAAATATTAATGATTATATTTAATATAAAAAGTACTCCATAGTTCATATAAATATTAACTTAATTGGTGCTACGTACTTGGCCTAATAACTAATTTGAAGTTAGATATAAATTTAACATTAAAATCATATCAAATCAAATGATTTTAGCGATTAAGAGATTCATTGTCATTTCTTAAAGTTTCAGATTCGAATATCGCATATGTCAGAGATATGAACATTATTATTAATTGATTGAGAATCTTCCGACATATATTACATTATATTCCTTCTAAATTTATAAACAAGAATTATGCATCAAATGTTATTTGTTGCTTCCATCTAGAAAATGTATATAAATTCCCTATTGTAAATATGGTGTCATCTTCTTGACTACGCATTTAAATTGGAGAGAAAAGTATTTTTCTACCGTAATTGTGTCAACATAATCTCCCATAAAGAAAAATCTTACGAAATTTAATGTCTTTTAATTGACATTTATTAATAGTTTTTTTCTGAAAAAAAACAATTTGTATAAAAAAGTAAAAAATAAAGTTAATTTTTATTTTAAATTTTAATAATTATATATAAAATAAAATTTTAAATAAAATTTTAAATAAAATTTTCAATTAAAAATACCAATTCAATAGAAAATTCACCGTCATCCATCAGACCATCACTTTATATTAAGATTTTATATTTATCTACAACCTTTAAAAATTATTTATTATTCACAACCTTTTAGAAAATTTTACCATCTATATTTTTCCATCAATCAGCTGTTAAAAATTGAGATAAACATTATTTAATTTTAAAATTGGATTTTTAAAATTCATTCTTTATTTTTTGGACTATTTGTATAAATACCCTAAACTCTGATTTATTCTAAATAAGTCTCCAAAATAAAAAATAATAATATTTTTTTGGCGACAATGTGATTCAAACCTGCTCCAAAAACCCACCATTGAAGTTGAAATCTCTCCATCAAGCTAATTAATTTGATACATGATTAGAATAGATACATTTTATCTTAAATTAGAATTGAAATTAATTATATTATTTTTAAATATATATATATAAATTTAAAATTAACTAAAAATATTAAATTTATAAAAAATGTAATTCATATTGTAAAAGATAATGAAAAAATAATTAGGACATACATATATTAATTATAATTTATTTAAATTTTTTTACTGAAATCAGACTACAGTAACCAGAAAATTCCATTGACATGTTGGATTGATCTATATTAATATATTTTAATTAATTTAGTAAAATGACAAAGGAATAACATGTTGGAACATATAAATCATTCAAACATAATAATATAAAAATATGAAATAATAAATAAGAATTATAATAATATTAAACTTATTTATAAATTATATTTTCTCACCACCAATATTACAATGTACCTATAAGAAGTCATTTATTAGAAAAAATATCTTTTTATTCTTTCCATGTAGTATGATATTTTTACTATGTGTGTTTCTTTGTTTTTTTTTCATTAGGCCAAACAGAGAAATTAATTCGTCCAATAGGTTACTTATGAATTTATTTTGCAATAGATGACAATTGTTACAATGAAAGACAAACTGATCACATCGCCTTGACGAATTTATCTAAGAAATATTTTAATAATCCTAGGTCAGTGGGCCTCATATGAGACAATATTATATATTTTAAGAGACTCGTCATATCAACGTGACATATTTTATAGATTATATATTTTAAAATCAATAAATAATTTAAAATTTAAAAATAATTAAAAATCCAAGGTGACGAGTTACCCTGTAATTTAAAAAACTAGTCATTTGTAGCCGTTGGGCAATAAGAAATAACAATAGTCAGATTCCAACGAGCATATTGAAACTCGTCACCTCGACGTGACGAGTTTCATGGAATTTTTGAAAAATATAGTCATTTATAACTGTTGAAATTGATGTTATAAATAGATATTTGAGGTTTATGATTTTTATTATTTATTCTTAAGAAACAAAATTGAGAAAAATTTTTTTTTTTTTTGAAGAATTCCTTAAAATGTTTACTTGAGATTAAATGGTAGGTTTAGATGATGTCCATATGTTGAGTTAATCGATCGACGAAATAGCCACGAGGGGGTGAATTGGTAATTAAAATTTTGGTAGAAGCTTTTGCAGAAAATAGAAAATAATTGCACAGCGATTTAAAGTGGTTCGACTTTCTCAACCAAAGTCTACGTCCACTACCTTAGCTATCCACACTAAGGATTTTCCAACAAATTCACTAATTTTTTCTTTCTTTTGAGGACAAAGAGTAACCTTACAACTCCCTCAAGAACTATACCCCAAATTCTCGAGAACACTCTCTCCCAAAGAAAAATACACAATTTTGCAAACTTACAGAAAAACCTCACAAGGTAAGATGTTTGCACAATTCTAGAACAAAGAAAGAACACTAAAAAATGAATACAATTGAGCACAATAAGTGTTCTTGAAAGCAAAATGAATATTGAATGAAAATTTGGCGTGAATTGCTCAAACTTGAGGTTTGACGCTTTCTCTTTGATTCTCTAGCTTCTCTTCTTGATTGTTGTTGATCAATGGCTCCTAAGCTTGTTTAAATACACCTTGAATCACTTCTGAACGTTGGGGGATCATTGGTGAAGTCAATAGAGCAGTTATTATGTGAAAACAATTAAATAAAACAGTTGGGAGCGTGTGTGCATCGGTGCACCATCAGGGTGTATCGGTACACTATGTGTAAAATTCAAATATTTCGACCATTATAAGACTTAGTGCATTGGTACACTAGGGGTGCATCGGTACACTAATTACATTCGATGTTTCAAAAGAGCCAGGAGTGCATCGATGCATGGACTGTGCATCGCTACATAAAATACATTTCGATGTTTCATTAAATTTAAGAGTGCATCGATGCATGGCTGTACATCGGTACACAAAATGCATTCGAAATAGGGAGTGCATCGATACATCACGGAGTGCATCGGTACATCCCTTCATAAAATTGATTTTTGGCTCGATTATGGTTCAAAATACTTTTTTAAAAACTGTTTCAAAAATATTTTAAGTTTAAAACACAATTTTACACTTTAGTAAGGATTGAAATTGACCTTAGAAAAATGTGGAGTAATATTTTGATATTCGATTAATTTAATCGAATATATTTTGAAAAAGATTGTAAAATCTTAAAATTCATTTATACTTAATTTGTTATATCGAAAGATCAAAATGTTTTCAATAATCTCCCCTTTTTGATATAACAAAACATTTGAGTAATTTTAAGATTTTCTTTTAAAAAATCATTTTTGAAATCATTTTTGAAAAATTACTCCCCCTTACTATATTCTCCCCCTTTTTGTTA